TGAAGGAGAGTCCACAGCCTACTGAGAGAGTCTGTTCTTGAGATAGGGGATTAAATATACACCCATATTCCAATACATTATCTTCTGAAAGAGACTTCTTTTTGCCTGCATGCAAAATTTCAAACAAAACCATTTAAAGGTGGAGCTTGGGCATTTCCACCTAAGTCTAAAAGGGGAGAGATATAACACCACATATGCTGCTCAGAGTGCCTCAGACTAGTGACAGGAAAACACCGCAATGAATAAGAGGCATCTTCTACCATAGACTAAGTTAAATAGACAGTGTTCTGTCTTTAGCAAGCACTTCTAGTCTCAGTCCATGTTTTGGATGAGCAGTATCAGCTGAGCAACACAGTGCCCCAACAGAGGGGCCAAGGATAATGCCACATCCATGCAAATGATGTAGCAATAAGTATGCAAATTAGCTATTGCCCCCTGGCTCATGATTGGCTTCTAGTGCAGTCTCTGTGCTGAAGCAAGATGCCTCCCAACTGTTTAAAGGCCATCTGCATTATCCTAGTCAAACACAAAATGGAGAATATCTTCTCCCTTATCAAGCTCTGCCTGGAAATCACTGCACAACACTGGTCTAATGAATCCTTGGAAAAACAATGACTAGAAATGTCTTTTCTAGACTTGCAGAATAACTCCTGGGGGTGGCCTGAATCATAAGAGATTCACAGGAATAGCCAAGTATATCTCCAGCCTCAGACTGTCTGCACAGTAGTAATTCAAAAGCCAGGTTAACAAAAGTTGAAAGGAAAACTGCTTCTGCTTGGTTTTTTAAAACTTGAGTCATTGCTTATACAGTGGTACCTCCGGTTACATAGACTTCAGGTTACATACACTTCAGGTTACATACACTTCAGGTTACAGACTCCGCTAACCCAGAAATAGTACCTCAGGTTAAGAACTTCAGGATGAGAACAGAAATCATGCGGCGGCAGCGGGAGGCCCCATTAGCTAAAGTGGTGCTTCAGGTTAAGAACAGTTTCAGGTTAAGAACGGACCTCCAGAACGAATTAAGTACGTAACCAGAGGTACCACTGTAGATCTTGATCAAGCCATAAAGAAGTACTCCATACCACCATCTCAGCTGCCTTGAAATGCAAACTGAACTCACCCAATTATTTATCATTTTTGTTTAAAACATATACCCATCAATTGAAAAATGATATTTTTCCACCTGAATATGGAACTTAACTTTGGAAGATGAGTACTTAACTTCCAACTCCAAGCTAATATTGCCCAAACTGACTTCTAATGACTCCGCACCTTGTTGTTGTTGTTGTTTAGTCGTTTAGTCGTGTCCGACTCTTCGTGACCCCATGGACCAGAGCACGCCAGGCACCTCTGTCCTCCACTACTTCCCGCAGTTTGGTCAGACTCATGCTGGTAACCTCGAAAACACTATCCAACCATCTCGTCCTCTGTCGCCCCCTTCTCCTTGTGCCCTCCATCTTTCCCAGCATCAGTGTCTTCTCCAGGGAGTCTTCTCTTCTCATGAGGTGGCCAAAGTACTGGAGCCTCAGCTTCACGATCTGTCCTTCCAGTGAGCACTCAGGGCTGATTTCCTTAAGAATGGATGCGTTTGATCTTCTTGCAGTCCATGGGACTCTCAAGAGTCTTCTCCAGCACCATAATTCAAAAGCATCAATTCTTCGGCGATCAGCCTTCTTTATGGTCCAGCTCTCACTTCCATACATCACTACTGGGAAAACCATGGCTTTAACTATACGGACCTTTGTTGGCAAGGTGACGTCTCTACTTCTCAAGATGCTGTCTAGGCCTGTCATTGCCCTTCTCCCAAGAAGGAGGCGTCTTTTAATTTCGTGGCTGCTGTCACCATCTGCAGTGATCATGGAGCCCAAGAAAGTAAAATCTCTCACTGCCTCCATTTCTTCCCCTTCTATTTGCCAGGAGGTGATGGGACCAGTGGCCATGATCTTCGTTTTTTTGATGTTGAGCTTCAGACCATATTTTGCGCTCTCCTCTTTCACCCTCATTAAAAGGTTCTTTAATTCCTCCTCACTTTCTGCCATCAAGGTTGTGTCATCTGCATATCTGAGGTTGTTGATATTTCTTCCGGCAATCTTAATTCCAGCTTGGGATTCATCCAGCCCAGCCTTTCGCATGATGTATTCTGCATATAAATTAAATAAGCAGGGAGACAAAATACAGCCTTGTCGTACTCCTTTCCCAATTTTGAACCAATCAGTTGTTCCATATCCAGTTCTAACTGTAGCTTCTTGTCCCACATAGAGATTTCTCAGGAGACAGATGAGGTGATCAGGCACTCCCATTTCTTTAAGAACTTGCCATAGTTTGCTGTGGTCGACACAGTCAAAGGCTTTTGCATAGTCAATGAAGCAGAAGTAGATGTCTTTCTGGAACTCTCTAGCTTTCTCCATAATCCAGCGCATGTTTGCAATTTGGTCTCTGGTTCCTCTGCCTCTTCTAAATCCAGCTTGCACTTCTGGGAGTTCTCGATCCACATACTGCTTGAGCCTTCCTTGTAGAATTTTAAGCATAACCTTGCTAGCGTGTGAGATGAGTGCAATTGTGCGGTAGTTGGAGCATTCTTTGGCACTGCCCTTCTTACTCCGCACCTATTGCCCCCTAAAACTGATCTCCAGCCTTGCAAATATAAAGCCTATTGTCTTTCTCCTTGTTTCTGTTTTCTGCCTCACAAGGAATTTGTGTAGTCCAACTAGTACTAAAGACAAGGAACAAATAGATGCCATATTTTCAAACAATGAGGAAAGAAACCATTTCCCCCCATGACTTATTTATTTTCTCAGCTACAGTATGAAGTAGGTTCAGACATGGACTGTTCCAGATTCACACAGTGAGCTTTATGGCAGAGCTGGGAACTAAACTGGGGCTCCATGCTCCTAGCTTGACACTCAAGCCACACCATCACACTGGCTCTCTATGAAAACAGTACTGTACGCTGTGTCCACCATGATACTGAACTCCTTCAAAGAAGGGCAAGATCAGATCATAATAAATGAACAAGCAAGCCACCATGATGGCTAAGAATCAATTAAACCTCCCTGTGATAGTTGGCCTTAACTTGTGCAGGTAAGATGAATGCAAAATTCATGTTACAGCATGAAAATTCATGTTACATCAATAGTTCTGCTTTGATACAATACTCAGACAAAGCAGCTTTTTCTCTCCCCAGCAGTTGTGCTAAACACCTCACCCACAAGTAAACTAGTCTTAGATGCATTTATAGGCAGCATCCACCAATTGTCAAAGCCAAACAGGTAGCAGTTTTAAATCAAAACTGCAGTGTCCCACAATGCCCTATGTCAGCATAAAGGTTTTTAAGCACACAAAACTAGGTATTTGGAATTACTAGCAGAAGCAACTCATGGAATCTGAAGTGGTTGTAAAAACAGAGGTTGTAAAAACTCCTGGATTCTTGCTAAAACTTATTGCTGTTTGCTACCCTGTTGGCTATAACCTATAATCCATGCATTCACCATCTCAGTTCTCAGTATTCAAAAGTGTATTTCTGTAGGACTTGTCACTTCATCTGTGTCCTGCTTCTTCCTCTTCATCACCGGAAGTTTTAATAGCTCAGTCAAAAAGGAAAGCAATACAAAAGGCATATAATAGGGAACTAGCAGCAGTTATACAAAACTTCCTCTTAATATTACCAACATGCTGGTTACATGACACAAAACATGCCAGAGTTGCAACCACTGAAACACTGGCAGGAAATTCAAGACCAAGCTGTAAAGTGCAAAACTGTGGGATTACCGGTAATTTGCCACAGACACTTCTCCAAGCCTGTTCTAGAGAAGATGCAAGCAGCAAAATCCTTGGAGTTTGCACCAACAGGCAAGAGGCCACAAGCAACAGGCATGAGGCATACACACACAGCACAAAGCAAATGTTTTTCAACACAAGCAACTCAGGGACAGAAGCAAGCTGCTGTTTTTAAACAGATGGCAGTCTCCATACAGGCTAAGGAAGGCACACAGTCATTCAACAAGCAGGAAGAAAAGCTATAAAAAGCAAGCATTAATCAGAGGCTCCAATATTCTTAGCACACACAACACGGCAGCTTTCAACAGCCAAGGCTCCCCGGGCAGCACACTGTTAGATGCTTTCGACATACCTCTCAACCTAAAAAAAAGCCCCTAACCATGAAGGCAAACCTTCATTGGAGGGAGTGATGAGGTGAACAAGCATTTTTTAATTATTATTAGCCAAGCTGTTTGATTAGTAGGTTTCACAAGGGGTAAAATCTTGAGAGTTAACTCTCCACAGTTCTGCCTTGTCAGGGACATTTGTCATGAAAACAACACTTCTAGATATTAATGGTTTATGGGGACCTTCTAAGTGTATCCTTTCCAATTTGAAGATAAATTCTGTTAGCCTTGGCTATGACAGGTGGCATTATCCAAATCTAGATCTGGAGAAGGTGTTCTCCAACACAGGGTCCCTCAGGTCAGTGGCTGGAGTCTGGGTTGTTTGCCTTAGAAAATGGGGATCTGAAACCTAGGAGGCAAGAATTAGTTCCCTGGCCATGAACTGAAAAATTGACTTGATTGATGTGGATAAATTCCCCTTCAGGGTAGGCTTTACTAAGATTTCAGCTAATGACTACTTCAGTACTGGAGGGTAGGTGTCAAAACGCTCCACACAACTTATGCAGTTTTTGTGTCTGTGAAAGCAGCAAGTTGAGGATGTGACATTATTAATTCAGTTGCCCCACCGTCTCAATGTTAAAAGGCATTATTTATTTTTGTTTTTTGGGGGGGAATGATGTCATGGATATTGGTCAATGAACAAAATATAGGTTTTGCTTCTTGTTGATACAACTATGGCAATTATTGAAAGCTAGCTAAGATGAAGATAGTGGAAATTTTGGTGTGGCTTCAACTGGACCATGGCTAGAGCCTACAAGACCCCAAGGTATACAATCCTAGGTTTCAAACCGAGCTGAGAGGTATGAGATCAAGCTCTTTCCCTTGCTTTCTTACCTTCGTGCCCGGTGATTCACGTGCTGATGCTGCCGTGTTATAAGGGCACTTTCCCATACAGGGCCACTGTGGCTACTCCTATACCAACTTGCAGCCAGGTGCCCTGGGTAGGTTGGGCCAGTGAAACCATGGTCCGACTCCGTCTCGGCGGCCAGCGATGAGGCTGAGCTGCCCATAGCTCCCCTCAACCCTGGCTGGGCCAAGATTTATAGGTTAGGTCCAAGCTAGAGGCATGAGCAGTCGGCCCGCAAGGGTGAGGAGTTGCAGCATGGACTGGCGTAAAAGTTCCCAACACTGGAGAAAGGAAAGCTGGTGCTGATTGGAAAAAGAAAAAGAACACAAAACAAGAGGAAAGGGAGAGGAGAGAGAGAGAGAAAGAAAGAAGTAAGGTATGATTTAAACCAATGAAGTGACATTTCTAAAAGCCTGTTAATAACAGAGGTGGTGCCCTAGCCTACCAACATGACACACTTGATTCAAAGGAAGCCAGCCTATAGAAACTTAAATGTGTGAGGGGTCGGAAGAAGAGAATGGAAGATGGTGGCTACATAATATAAAGGGCCTAGTCCCAAGTTCTGTTGGCCAATTTAACCATTCTTTCTTCCATTTGCATGTGGGAACAGGGTAGCCGAGTGGTTTTCAAACTGTGTTCTGGGGAAACCTGAGATTTCTTAGATGTATACGGGGGAAACTCTGTGGGGAGGTCAGTAACAGCAGACAAACCTCCCTGTAAAACAGCACAGTAGCATGGAAATGGTGGGCAAACTCACATTGCCCTTAGCAAGCCTAGCCAGTGTGAACGGAAAACACTTCCTAAAAAAAACAAAAACCCACCCCACTCCCAGAATCCTCTGAAACACTCAGGGGTAAATGTACTGTGATTTGTGATTCCTCAGCAGACCAAGATAATTTGGAAAATGTTTCCTGAAAGAAGAAAGTTTGAAAACCACTGGGGTAGCCAATACAAATATAAGGAGGTCTGGTGCTCTAGTATTAAGTAATATGGGGAACCAAATGCCAATTTTCTGGTAGCATTTATATAAATATTGCAACCAGTAAAGGGCCTGCACTTAGAACTAACAAAATGTCTCACATATGATGGATAATGAGTAGAATGGTCTCTCCCCAACATCTTGTGAGCATGCATATGCCCTGAGGGATAGCTAAGTTGGTAGAGCATGAGACTCTTAATCTCAGAGCCGTGGGTTCAAGTCGCAAGCTGTGCGAAAGATTCCTGCACTGCAGGGGGTTGGACTAGATAATCCTTGTGGACCTTCCAACTCTATGATTCTATATAGCTATAAAATGCACATGCATATAGCAAGACTCAATCTCATTAATTCATGCCTGCTACACCACTCATCCTATGCAGCACATATTCCCCTAAAGCAGCGGTTCTCAACCTGTGGGTCCCCAGATGTTGTTGGACTACAACTCCCATCCATCCCTGAGCTCTGGCCTTGCTAGCTAGGGGTGATGGGAGTTGTAGTTCAACAACATCTGGGAACCCACTGGTTGAGAAAGGCTGCCCTAAAGGCAGGATGAGCTTGTTGCTCATGAGCAGACCCAAATGGAAGATGAAGCTTGACCACGCTGAAAAAAATAATGGTTTGACCTGTCTTTTCGCCACCATGGATGGATGCAAGAAAGCACAACAGCATCATGGAAGAGACTGCACTCCAGCTGCTGCTTCCTTCCTTCCCTTCCAAGCGTTATATGGACCAGCTCAGCTGAAAGGAGTTGGAAAAGTGCAGAAAACCTTCAGCAGATTCAGTGGCTTCTTAAACCTCTAGCAGCCACCACTGAAGTTCAGTGTTACTACTCCTCCACTTGGAAATTTGGTGGCATCAACGTACACACTATTTGCTTTGCAGCAGCAGCCCAAATTCTTGTACCCAGGTTTGCCACCAACCAGTGTTAGAAATTCAAGATATATAAGCTAATCGCCAAATGGCACCTTAAACTGAGGTTATGGTTGCTGCAACAGAATGTGTGGACACCTTTTTCCAGTGAAATTTGTTGTTGTTGTTGTTAATTTCTATACTGCTTTATATTTTAAAGGAAAAATCTCAAAGCGGTTTACAACACATTAAATTACCAAATAAAACAATCCAGAAGAAAACAAATTCAAGCTTCAATGAAAATATTTCAGACCCTTCTCTAAGTGACATTTTACTTTCCTCATATTTATTTACCTACTTAATTTATAGAGCTGCCCCATAGCAGAAGCATTCTATGAAGCCACCGTGGTGTAGTGGTTAGTGTGTCAGACTAGAACCTGGGAGATCAGGGTTCAAACACCTACTGAGTCACGAAGCTCACTGGGTGACCTTGGGTCAGTCACAGCCTCTTAACCTACCTCACAGGGTCGTTGTAGGGATTAACTGAGGAATAGGGTGAACCATGTACTCCTTGGAGAAAAAGGTGGGATCTAAATGCAGTAAATAAGTTGTTCTGCTTATATGCTTAAGAAAGCTTGAGGAGCTAGCCAGATGGAGATGTCAGTCGCCAACCAGGCATCCAGAGATCTCCACATGTTCACAATTGGACCTGCACCAGTAGCAAAACATGCCTGGGGCCTGGCTAATGTCTAACACTGCCACCAACCATCTAGCTTAGCCACATAAGTAAGCATTTCAAGCAGGCCCACATTGCTTCCATTTTCCTGACTCACACCTTAGTGAGTCAAACTTTCTGAAAATAAGGGCAGCATCAGGGATTAAATAGGTATGTGAGAAAAGGCAGGTGCCTTTTCTTATATGGGGGCGGGGGAGAAAACCTTTAGTGTCAAGATTTGTGTTGGAAGGGAAAAGAGCAAGCCAACAATTAGTACAGTAAAAATAAAGAAATGAGGAAGATAAGAAAAAATGCCACTGTTGAGCTTATTCAGTTACCCACCAGGATTTGGAGAGAGAGGCTGTGGTAAGAAATGAGCTATAAATAAGAGAAATGTTCAAGCAATAGCGGTTCTTTGCAAGGAAAGGGGTTGATACAAAGCTGCTCACATGGAAGATTTTCAATGCCAAGGCTGTTCCCAAAGGGAACTTGGTACAGTGGTGCCTCGCAAGACGAAAATAATCCGTTCCGCGAGTCTCTTCGTCTAGCGGTTTTTTCGTCTTGCGAAGCAACCTTATTAGCGGCTTAGCGCTATTAGCGGTTTAGCGGCTATTAAAGGCTTAGCGGCTATTAGCGGCTTAGAAAAAGGGGGGGTGAAAAAAATCGCAAGACTCGCAAGACGTTTCCGTCTTGCGAAGCAAGCCCATAGGGAAAATCGTCTTGCGAAGCAACTCAAAAACGGAAAACCCTTTCGTCTAGCGGGTTTTTCGTCCTGCAAGGCATTCGTCTTGCGGGGCACCACTGTATATAGTAATTCCCACTCTTCAGTCCATATAACAAGTGCCAGTCTGATAGATGTCTGACACCACAATTGTGTGCATTAAATGGACTTCATTTAAAAACAAGTTCTGTTTTTCTTTACTGTTCACAACAGCCTAATATGATGAGGCTGCCAGAAATCTTTACCCTCCAGGCTACTTCCCTCCCAGCATGCACATGGCAATATCTGCTCCTTCCACTTCTACTGCCAGCAGAGGGAGGAGCTCATGGGCAAATATGGGCCTGGGAAATGAGTCACAACATCTTGCCACCAGGGCACTGGATCTAATACTTGTGTACCCACAGACAAAGTTACAGCTCTCTCAACCTCTATTCTCCCGACTTATTTCATCACTATATTTTTTACTAGTGGCTACCACCTCTGCTCATCCACCTGCCTACCCCTTTGCGCTTCTCCCACACTTGACCAAATCTCCTCCCCTTACAACTCACCCACCCTCTTGACTGTCCTTCTACAGCATGCCCCAAGTCCATCCCGTTAAAGGAAGTAAGAGGTGCAAAGGGCCTTCCCTGCTATTTTAAACCTTGCCACAGGCGTGTTCAATGGAGGCGGGAGGTACCCCATACAGTGGCTTGATAAACCATTGGTGTGAAGCACCTCCCCTCTCTCCATTAAACCTCGCTGCAAGCAAGTTTAATAGCGGAGGAACTTCACAGCCTGTCGGCTGTTTCTCATGCTGCAGCTGGCATGGTTGCCAACAGGCAACCACAGAAACTGCAGAGCATGACAACACTTCCAACATTTCCATGTGTATAGCAATATATGGCTTGGGTGGGGATTGTTTTTCAAAATTAAAAGCAACTTAAAATTTTAATTAATAAATAAATAAATCTAAAGAGAGGCTAACAGTAACCAGGAGTGTTGTGAGGAAAAACAGGATAAAATGGGGCAAGGAAAAGCTAAATATAAGCATAGTAAGCAAACAAGGCACACAAAGTGTGAGAGCACGACTCTCTTTTCCTTTTCCTGTTGCACAGGAAAGGACGTATTTTACACATTTCATTACAAAAAGAAAGAGAGGAATGAGCTTGTGTTTTTTGTTATTCCATACACTGGCTAAGAATTATTAGCCCTTTTTTGTGAATGAGCACTTGGAAGCTACAGCACTCCTTAGACTCCTGTTACCACATGGAGGAAAAAGAGTTCTCCCACAAAGGCACTACTGATAATGAATTGATGTTTCAAAATTATTACTTTTTGATGAAGACATTGATGAAGATGAAGACAGTGCCAACCCAAGACATTTGCTTCCTGAAGAGAGGTCCAAATGGCACCTCTAGTCATGGACTGCTGGATGCAGTGCAGAGGAGAAGTGGGAGGCACCAGCTGATGGTGATGAGTGGTCAGAGGGAGAAGAGGTTTAGTGAGCAGGAAGAGGCTGTGGCAGAGAGCAGTTCAGGCTGAAGAGAAAGCTGGAGAGGAGGGGGAAAAGAGGCAGTTGGGATCGGCTGCTGAAGAGTCCAGGTAGTCTCTCCCTCCTGCTGCGACCAACTCCTCCCCCTCCCCAGGTCTCCTAGAACAAGTAAGAAAATGGAAAAGAGAAGAGTCTGGTTGTGCGCAAATGCAGTTTGCAAGTGCTTGGGAAAGACTCTGGAGGAGGAGCCTTAGAGAGTGGTAGGAAGGTGGGGAACTTCAGTCCTCACAACCACCTCATTGGAGCAAGACCTGCGGGGAAGAATTGCTGGGATGCCTAGTCCTGTTTTGGTTTCTTTGAAAAAAAAGTTAACTGCACTGACAGAGTATTTTTTATTGCTAACCTACCCTTGAATCTGACATCTCCCCTGATAGGGTCAACACTTTAAGAAGTCCTGATACACCAGTTTGCCTTCACATATTCTACTCCACCACCACCATGGAACCCCATTAAGAAATTTATGTACCCTACTGGATGGCAGGGCAACCATGGGCAAAGATATAC